AAAAAAAAAAAAAAAAACCAGTTCAAATAGAGCAATTTTTACGAGCTGTTTCTTCCAAATTTGATCTCCCTTTCTTTCCCCGTCACTTCAACTTGAATCACTGTGACCAAATGAATTGTTACCGTCCACCAACAACAGCAATAATAATAAAAGCAATTTTGCGAAACAGTCATATTTTTATGAAGTTCATTCAACTGACAACATATTGGTGTTAATTCATCTCATTTATAATTTCTGGACTGTTTAGTCAAGAAAAAAAAGAGAATTAATTAACATGTACTGACTAAAAGAAAAAAAGCTGCTTAGAAAGCTATAATCCAAATAAAAAAAAGAGCTCTTTCTATTTTAAAAAATGCAAGATTCAAGAAACCTCTAATGGCAAAATTTCCCATTCATTCTTATGAGGTCTAATATTCACGATATACAGTAAGTTTGGCCGATGTAAACTCATAAACGACGAATCACATTCAAACGAGAAACTGCCTGATTTTAAGTGAACACAATACATATTGTTCTGAACCACCGGATAAGCCGAATAACTAAAAAGTTTAGGATAAAGTAGTTTTTGAAAAAAAAATTTGCGCTTATATAAAATAAATAATTTTGTGTGTTCTTTTAGTTTTGGTTGAAAAAGAATCAAAAATAAGAATACGTAAGGAAAACTACCAAAGATACCTAACAGTGATTGCAACTGAACTATTCAGCAGTTTTTCATATGCTTAACTTAACACAGACAGCATAATTTATCAGGTTTCCACTACAACTTTTATTTTTTACTCATATTTTGATAGTATGGCAAAGAATGGCACTCAAATGTAGAAAGTTTGAAAAAAGTTATTCTGATAAAGTCGTAAAAAAAGTTTAAAAAGAAAATAAAGCGAATAACAATTGTTGCAAAGGCAATATCAAAGACAGGTTTTACGCTTCTTTCGTATTCGTTTCTTGTTGACTATTTTAGTTTCTGTCATATTACTGGTCAGTGAATAAAAAGCTAAAATTGCCTTACAAAAGAAAAACATGCTTTAAATTCTGTGGTTACCTACCCTTAAGCAGAACTCATACTTGGCATAAAAAAATCATTTTCTTACTCAAATCTTGGAGTATTTTCCAAAGTTTGTAAAGAAGGCTTGTCGACTGGGAGGGCGCAAAATTCGTTTCGTCCTGCAACTTTTTTTGTCAACAAAAATTTATCCTTGTTTCGCAGATAATGCCATTTCAAGTATTCCGGTGCACATATATCCACCGTATTATTTACCCGCATTTCACGCAAGAGATCCAAATGTTTTGGTCGTATAAAAAATACTTGACATCCTGAAAACAATAAAGCTGTTTTTTTTTTTTTTGCTTTTATTTTCTTTCATTTTATTCCAACAAGCAGTAACAATATTGCTAAAACCATCCAGTGAATTGTTTAACTAATTGCTTAAATCAATATGTTTGTACATGAGTGAACATTTCATCTACTATTCCCAATTTTACTATTCAAAGTCCACTTAAAAACTGATTGTTGTTAGTGAAATCTCAGTGGCACTTTTTACATACCATGCTTGTTTGCTGCTGCTAGGCGTATTATATTTTATCAACACTGCAAGATCAACTAAATAAACTACTTCTTTTTTTCCACTGCTTAGTTTTTTTGTATTCATTTCATTGTAATAGTCACCTGTGTGCTGCCATAAAAAATGTAGTTGTTACGAAGGTGTAACAAAAATTTTCGGGCTTCCGAAGAAAGACTACGCGTCAAGGCAAAGTTGTTGTATAAACCGAAACAGTGAAACAAAAGAAAAGCGATAAGTGAAGACTGCAGACGAATTGTGTATGTCATGTCGGAAGTAGGAATTGTTCAGCACAAAACATTCTGAAATTTTAGTTTATAAGCTATTCGTTGCATTTTTCTGCCTTCATTTAGCGCTTCTAAGACGGATACCGTAGACGACAGCAACGACAATAACAATGGTAGCAATGGCATACACTGATGACGGTAATCACATAAATATCGAAAAAAGAAAAAAAAGAGGAAGCAGCGTCTATGGATTTAGCTAAGCGATAATGCAACGTTATGGGAACCAAAATATACCAAATAACAAACAAATCTTTAATATAATATCGCCAAAACGCTCGTTCAACAAGCAAAAATGATAATCAAATTTCCCATCAGAATGTAATTAACAACAAAAAAAAACCTACTGTTACTTTATTTCATTATTCTTACTACCACTATTACCATACTGCTACCACTATAACTACTATCGGTTCTACTACTACTATTGCCACTATTGATGCTACTGCTACTACTTTTGCTGACACCAATGCTACAAACTCTACGGATTACCACCACGATCACTGCTATCAAATTACATATGTTATTACTACCATCATTACTAAACACCAGCAAGAGCAAAAACGACGTGTCAGTTTTGTCAGGTGACAGCAGCTCGCCTTTGCATCATTTCTCAGTTACCCGTTTCTTATTTCAATTATTAATTGACTA